ACGGTCAGTTTTTGCTTATTTTGAGACTCAGTTTGCCTAAAATTTACAAACTTGCAATTGCTGTCCTCTGTGTACAAGCATGCAGATATTTGACTGACAAAATACCGAGTGACTCTGGGTCTTCTCAATGTGAAGTTTGCCAATCATTGACTTTCGGGACCCAGCCCCTAAGCTTGATACACTTGAGTATCACAACTATTATGTTTGTAATACGTATTTGATTCTTAAACAACACTGTATTGATTCTTATTAAAATAGTTTCCATTTTGGTGGCAGTGGTTTTCTTTTAACATACTACACTCAACTTCAGTGTTTCCGAAAATAAGAATTATTAGGCTTTTATGCTTTTCATGAATAACATTGATTTAGAAACAGTGTTTAAACTGTGAACTGTATGGACCCATATTTGTGGAGGTATATGTTTTTAAAAAACAAACAAACAAACTAAAACAAACAAGAAATTATCTTTTTTCTCTACAAAATCTGCTGTATAAAAACATATTATAGTTGGTCATATTATTCTTCTTCTTATTATTATTATATATTATATTAAGTTTTCCGTTCTATAACAGTATACACTTACAAAGTTACTCTCCAATGAAACTTGGTCAGGTAATAAATCATGCTCTGCTCGCTGCTGGACGGGCGACCCAGCACAATCAGGAACCATCTTGTCTGCCTGGTTCCTCTTCTGCTCTTGCTAGTCACTTCCAGGTGCCAGTCAAAACCCACATTACCAGGCAGCTGGAAGCGTTTTCGGTCCTTGAGTCCAAAACGCCCCATGTTACTCATCGGCCACACTTGCTCCGCAGTCCTTAATGACATTAAAAAACACACAAGCATGAGAATGCAGTTCTGCCAAGAAGTTCTTGGTCTTACACCAAAAATCACCAGACTAGGTAAGTGGATTGTGAATACTGCTCAAAGCTAACAATAGGCTAACTTTTTTTGTAATATTTTTTTACTGAAACTTCATATAATATATATGACATAGTAAATGAGACAAATATCTGCTGAAAAAAGCAAGAGAAAGAAAAAAATTAGGCGTTGGGGCTTGAAGATAAATAATAATAAAAGTCTTACTCCAAGCACTGGTATTTTGACAACCTGGGAATTGAGACTCAACAGCTACTTTTTTGGCCTCCAACTGATTGTTCAGGCTCCAATGGATTCTTGCAGAATACTATTATGAGCAACAGGAGGACCCTGATGATTTTATCTGTCTCATGTATTACTAGCTCAGGATTAAGCAGCTGAGCTATTTTATCGATCCTAAAAAGTAGAAGGAAAAGCGACGATTTAGATAAAAGTCTGGCTTACTTTTCAAAGGCTTGTAAAGCTACAGTTTGCACTGTTTCATTAATGAAACTAAATTTTCTCACCACATCTATTGATTCCATTTGTCCAGCATTTGCAAGCCCTGTTAGACTCTCTGTCAGTCAAGGCCATATATGTGCTAATTGATTTGCTTTCAGTTTTCAGTTCAATTAATTCAATCCAAGTCAAATGGAACACTCACAAGATGTCACCAAATCACACTGTCCCTTTTAAAAATCTTTCAGAAAATGATG